CTCCCATTGACGGTGGAAGCACGGCGACGGCACGTTGGCCCACCTTGGCGCGACCTTGTGTTCGCCTGCTGTACAGATTGTAGTTCGTTTCATCGTAATACACGATATAGTCACCACGCGCCATATGCATGAGCAACGTGTCAGCGCACGCTTTTCTCTTGGTTTTATTGATGTCGTTGTTGCACGTCGAGGGTTCGACACGGACTTGCTTTACTGTGTACAGCTTCCCATAGAGAGTTCGACTGATCGTTGAGGTTGAGGTGTTGATACCGAGTTCTACATATAGCCTGTCCTGCATACAGCTAATAGTATACTGACAGCATTCGTCGATGTACTCTTCCAGACGTAAGGACATCTCTGGAGTCATCTTGGTCAGTGACGGGCGCTCTCCTCCCCGGCTGAGTTGACTGGCACGGTTATTGTGAATCACACGTCGCACTGTCGTCCAAGGGACACCATTGTGAGCGGCCACTGCTTTCCAATCTTTTCGGTCATGGAATGCTGCCAAGTCACGATTATTCTCGGCTTCTGTTGGCATCTTTTGATTGTGTGTGGGTAATTTTGTCAGGTTAGTTTGGCGCGCCCGCCAAAAGAAAACCTTTGTCAATACATGTTTTGATCGAATAAGAATTTACAGGTGGCCACATTGAGTGTAGATTAACTGTAAACCACTTTGAATGAAATAGATTCCAGGTGTACTTCGACGTTCGAAGAAATTAAAACTTCGAAACCATATTGATTGCTGGTTTGGCCACATTGACTGTGAACGGGCAATGGTGTAGTGCTGATTAATACAAGGACAGCTCCGTCGAAATACCTCTTGCCAAGTTCAAATTGACCTGTGTAATGACCCTACACGAACTTTTACATAACCTTACTTCGCACATGAAACTTGAATAACAGAGAACGAGGGAACTCCAGCCAAACCCAAATATTCGGGGTTACAAATATGTTCAAAGCCAATCTGAGTTGTGCTTGAAATATTGCATTTGTATTGGCCAAAATAAAATAAAGCGCCAAGTCGACAATATTATGCCCTCGTGAATATATGACCATGTCCACAAGTGCAGACCCCGCAGAGCTTCCACGGACTCACACTCATATATCAGTTCTGAGGCAATTTCATAGGTAATAAAATGCCACAAATCTTGAAAGTTTGTCGAATCATTTTGCGCCAATCCAAATCTACCTAGGAATTTGAGTTTATATTGTACTGCTTAACTGTAAAGTAATTCCGTGAACACTGAATTGATTGATAAGAAAGTATTGTACGTAGAGGTGACACCCAAACAACGTAAACCAGACAATGAGATAAGATAGTGGTGCATCGAAGGACATTCGTAACCAGACTCGTAGTATGGGCTATGTGCTACCGCTTTGTCCACTCGAGTTGTTTCGCTGTGTGTGCAT